AAATAATTTATGTGTATTCTCTGTATTTAAAACCTTGTATTCTTCACTTTGGACATCCTAGGACATTTATAGTTAAATAACAGAAACGAATTCTAAAGATAGGTCACTTTATCTTTTCTTGTCATTAAATTAGCAAACAGTGAAATCCCAATTAAAATGAAATGTCTTTCACAAATGATTTCTGAAATTAAAAACAATGATGGTGCATTTCAATAAGTATGCAGCCTTAACTTTGTTTACTCTCTAAAGGTAACAATAAAACATTTCTAAATGACTATGTTCCTATTTATGCACTGAGCTAGAACCACATTAAAGAGTTGGTAACAACTGGATTTGTGTCTTGCTGTAGAAATATAACAATTCCAAGTGCTATATTCTACCCACAGATTATCACTTGAATAATGTATTAGACTCGGCTGTTCCAAGAAAATGAAGTTCATTGATGGCTGATGAGGTACACAGCTTATTAGAGAATAGTCTATTAGCTGAATTATGGACAGTTTAAAACTGTGTAATTTAATTGAAGTACAATATATCGGTGAGAATTTTGATTTTTCTCTATGTGATGTCTAATTCTCTCTGGCTGTCAAACTCACAAAGAACCTTATAGAATTAGAGTTCTTTGCCTACTCTTCTTTTTAAAAATATTTTATTTTGGTTTTCCTACAATGTGTTTATTTTACATATTAGCATGATTCTATATAATATTTCATTAATAACACACAAAGTTCACTAATCAAATCCAGCTTCCCTCCATCTAACTCTCATTGCTCAACTCTAGGATTCACAATTTTATATTCAAGGTGACTTTTCTAAGCTTTCAAGTATAACAGAACACAGGCCATACATGTCTTTCTGTCTGGCATACTTCATTTAAGGTCATGTTCTGCAGCTCTGTTTTGTGAAAATGATAGCATATCATTTTATGGATGAATAAAATCCCGTGGGTGTATGTAGCAGGTTTTCTTCATTTGTTCTGTGTTGGGAACCTTGGTTCATTACCCATATATGCGATTGTGGGTAGTGCCACAGTAATACAGAAATGCAAGTTACTCCTTGGTATGCTGATTTTCATTTTCTTTTTGGAACTATGCTCAAAATTAGGATTACCATGTCATACAAGAGATTCTATTTAGTTTTGTGAGGAACTTCCAAACTGCACTAATTTACATTTGTGAAAACAGCACACAAGAATTCACTTCACCTCCTCATGAGCATTGGTCACTCCTAAAATTAAATACATATTTTCACTGTCACTTACATGACTATATCTCGTCATGGTTTTGATTTGCATTACTTTGATTGCTAGTGATACTAAATATTGTGTCTAATGGAAGAAATTAGAGATTACAGTATAAACTCACACTTGTACAGTCAACTAAATCTCCACAAGCATGACAAAGTGTCTATTGGTGGAACAGCTTCCTTAATTATTGGTACTGAGAAAACTGTGTATTCATATCCAGAATATTACATCTTCACCATGTACACAAATAAACTCATAATGGAGCAAAAGCTTAATGTAAAATACAACCATGAAACTGCTGAAGAAAATGTAAAGGGAATACTTTCAAGGAATGAGATGGACAATGACTTCTGGAGTCTGACTCCACCTACAGGAAATAAGACAATAAAGATGAATGGAATCACACATAACTTTAAAGCTTCTGCAGAGCTTAGGAAACAAGAAGCAAGATGGAAAAAACAATATTCCGAACAAAAGATAACGTACAAATATCAAGGTTAGGATCCAGAATACACACAATCTTAACAATAATGTAAGTAAATAATCTATTTAAAACAGGGAAAATGATCTAAATTGTGTATCTTTTAGTCATAAGTGAACTGCTTGGGAATCCTTCAGATTGTATGGAAAAGCTAACCTGAATGGATGAGTCAAGCTCTCTTAAGGCCTTTAGCATAGTATCACTTTCTAGTGAATTACATAGAGATATATAATATTATTCTAACTTCAGCCTGTAGTATAATTAAAATTACAGCAGAGCAAGGTGGTTCATGCATACACTCTCAGCACTTAGAAGCCTGAAAAAGGAGGACTACCATGAGTTTGAGGCCAGCCTGGCCTACTCACTGAGTGTCAGACCACCTTGACTATTGAGTGAAAGTCTGTCTTAAACAATAAACAACACATTATACCTAGGAAATAGTATCAACCTAGATGCCCATCATTAGATGACTGTATAAGAAGACTGTTGCACATATGCACAGTGGAATATTTCTTAGCTTTAATAAAATATGAAATCATAAACACTGCAGGTAAATAGAATGAAACTAGAAAAAAGTCATGCTGAGTGAGGTAACTCAAGACAGAAATACAAACACCAAGTGTTCTCTCTCATACGTAGATCCTAGCATCAGATTTTTTGTTTTGTGTATTTAACTTATGAAGGTCAGGAGCCTGGAAAGGGCCTTTTTTTCAGGAGAAATTATGAGAAGGAAGAGAGTAGATTTTAAGGAAAGCAAAAGTAGTGAGGTGGGCTCCTAGGGACAGAAAGGATTAAGCAGTGAGGTGTATGGATGTGTGGGGGAAATGTGGGGTTGAAGGGGAGGGGAGGGCTAACCCAAATGAAGGAGGTAAGAAAAGCCATATGGAAGCCTACTATCTGACAACTCATGTTTCAAAAAAATAAATGGATAGATAGTAGAACACATGTGAGTTGAAAGAAGGGATAATAATGAGGGTTAAATAATTTTCTGGAATGTGGTCAGAAGAACAAGGGAAAGGAGGTGGATGTGGTGACCAAGACTAAAGATCCATGAAAAAGACTTGCATAAATCTACTCATTGGTAAGCTAGTGTTTGGCCCTAGATAATATTCCTATACTAAACCTTACCCACCCTTGAATGAGGGAGCATTGTGGAAAAGCATGCAGGAAAAATATAAGAGCCAGCCTTGGTGCCTGAACAGATGGAAACAACAACTTTAAGGCCTCAGAAACCTGCTGATACGAACTTGCAACGATGGTAACAACATGCCCAAGACCCATGCTGACTCAATCAGGCAAAAATCCAGCATATAACTTGGGAATTGAGCACAGGCCCCGACCTTAGATGAGGAACTGTTGGCAACTGATTATTGCAGGGTGAAGGAGAGTTGATCTTGTGTAAGGGACTGAATCTAAATAGGCTGACTAGACTCCAGTGGATGAACTTACACCAAGAGGGATTTCTTGGTTTAAATCCTTAACTGAATAAGCCCTAATATATCCGACAGAATACGTGAAATCTGTTGGCAAAGGTATATGTAGTTATGAGGGGTGTGGATACAAGAGGGGGTCTAAATTTTATTAAGATCTATTACATAAAATGCACAAAACAAAAAATATAGATAAAATGCATAACTTTTATAAAAAAAAGAGTTTAAATGGAGTTACCTTTAATAAATGGACATTTTCACTCCCAGGAGACCTGGGCTATTAAAAGAAAATCACAGTACACAGCATGGGATACTACTCTGTCAGTTATTGGTCAGGGAGGCCTCAGAGGTCTCCATAACTACACAGGTGATTGCTGTTACCCTCAGTTACCCATTATAACTGCATGATATGACCTTAATGCTGAAGATACATCATACATCAGCCACAGGCTATAGAGAAATCAATCCCAAACAACCATGAAAATTTCTCCCTGTTGCCTAGCTTTCATAGTGCCCAAAGGTGCTATGTAGGCTATTAGGGAGAAAAGACATCAATGGTCTTAGTGCTGGACGCTGCATGCAACAATATTGACCTGACAAGTAATCCACATGTATTGGTACAACAGTAGCAAAACTGATACGGTGTAGCTAACCACATTCTAACTGGATTTGTGACCCCTCCACAGGAGAGAATTTCATTCCTGTTACTTTAATCCTGGTCAAAAGTCTATGACAAGGGAGGTCATTGGTCCTAGGGTAGAACCGTCTATTCTTAATTTGTTACATGGTGGTGCTATCAACTTTCAATTTAAATGTTTATACTTATTCCCATAAAACATGGCTGCTTTCAACCTTGATAGAGAAGTCTAATTTTTGCATTGGACTGTGGTAAATGTAGAGATGCATAACATGTCGAAATCCTGATAATAAGAAACTTAGTGCTCAACCCTAAATGGGACAGATGTATCTACTCCAAACAACCAAGGCTCAGGAAATAACACAGAAGAAGAGGTAGAACAAATAGGAAAATAGAATATTTGAAAGGCTACTGTGAAATGCTGTTTTCTAGACATGATGCTTTATTGCAGTCATGAACTCACAGAATCTGTGAGCCAAAATTACAGGGTAGTTGGGATAGGTGATCACAAAGCCCTACTGTTTACTCAGGAGCTATTGGCACTGGACAGCTTCTGGGTAAAAGAGTGTCATTCCTTT